GTCATAGTATGTGCAGCACGATCGGCGTCACTGCTCGGGGTACTGTGTGGCTGATTGGGCGAGGCCGTCGGTTGTGAGGGTGCCTGGTTCTGTCGAATCCGGCGTGCACTCAGCGGCACGCTCTCCTCGCCGGTTGTCAGTCTGTGGGCCCTCGAGTCTTCATGATATTCAACGATTATGCGCTCAAATAGATGAAGCGCTGCGTCTGTGATAACACCGGTCGATTCTTGGTAGGCATCGCGAGCGACCGGCTCTGTGCAGAACATCGGCGGTTCCATCGGTGGTTCGTTTCCAGATCTATTTTCAGAAACATGTGAGCCTTGGGACTGGTGAGATGGTTGGCCCGCTGATGAACACACATGTTGGATTGGATTGGAGGCCTGTTCTCGTCATGAGCTGGTGCTGGACCCATTGCTTTCTCATGTCTCCCGTACGGGCGTTTACATCGGGCGCTGTATATATGCACCTAATTGTCAACGCGTTCTTATGGCGCCATCGAGTCCAAGGACGTACCAGAATATGAAGCCTAATCCTCCTCGTAGCTCTGCGCCAGAAGGAGAAGTCTTGCAATAGGGACATAGGCACGCAATTTCGCGAATGATGATGCTCATCCTCAATTTCGCACCGGCTTTGACCACTAGGGGCCATGTTTCAGGATCAATCAACAGGCGCTCAGAGTCACTTATGGCATATTGGCGCCCCCGAACATATGAGACGCCGGCGCGGTCGTGGAAGGCTTCAAGTAGGAAGTCGTGCGTATTCTGGAGAGCGCGGAGGTCAATATGTAGTCGGTGAAGTTCAGGAAGAAGTGGCGGCGAAGAATGGAGATAATGCGAACCTCCCAGGTGGCAAAGACAGCGGCCTCGAGAACAAGAATTTCTCCTAGGGCATCGATGATGATGACGGTATCAGGAGGACGCCGGAGCGGGCGCACAATAGACGCTAGTTTCCAGGTCATGAACAGCAACAGTAGTGTGCATGCTGTAGGTGTGATTGATTCAATGACTTCCGCAACATCTTGAGATGCAATGCCGGTGGCGCTATTCACATTCCCGCTCGCTGATCCCATAGCCCGGAAGAAGAGCCTCGCTAGGCCGCGCCAGATCGTATTCCGATCCTCCGAGCCCAAGGTGGACATGGCCTTAATCAATCGGCTTCCTTGGAAGGGCACTTTGGCTGCAGGACGAGCGGCAGTGACACTATCCGGTGCATCGATCTCTTGGCCTCGGGTCTCTATCCCTGTAAACTCATCAGAATCAGGGTTATACATGCGTTTGCAGGTGGCGGGCCTACGCGATAGCTGATCTGTCGTGGTCTTCTGCCAGCATTTGAATGCATTGAACATCTCGTCATCTGCATCGGTCGTTAGTTGCGATTGTAGGTTCGAGAGTCCGACCATAGACGCACACTTTCTCCCTCTTTCATGTAACTCGGTCAATATCTCTTGATTGGTATGGCGCGTGTTCTGCCAAGCATCCCCCAAAGCGACTTGCAGCGTGGAGACAGATGTTCCAACTGTGGGGCGTGTCATGAGTGAGGACTTTGTAGCAGAGCCAGTCAGATCACTGACTGGCGTGCACCTCCGAAGAGATGTCTTCCATATTCACAACTAGTTCGCCAATCGCTACCCCCAAAGTAACGTGCATTGTGGAGACCGACGTGCCAACTACAAGTGTATGCTCAGCATGCTTCTCGTACGAGCTTTCCAGTTCACATACTGTCGTGCATTCCTGACGAGAGATCTTCCATATCCACGACAAGTTCTGCGATTGCCATCCTCTCCTCCTCAGATGTGGCATCTCCCAGTGCCTCGAGCGCATCTTGAACCTCGTCGCCGCGAGAAAAGACCGTCCGTACGAACTGTTCTGTTTAGGTAAGATGAGTGCAGAGTGAATCAGCGTCTATGGCGGGGTCGCGTACCGATTCAACCTCTTTGCAGTATATGTGTAACAAGAGCCAGCGCCTTCAAGACTTCCACGAGGACCTTCACGGCTATCTTCCGCGATTCGCTCTTCAAGGGAACCTGCAGCCGTACCTGCAGTCGCTCGACATAGGCACGCAACCGCTCAAACAGTTTTTGAAGCTGATCGTAGCTTGTACTGACACGATCTGCGGCCTAGAGAGTCGAAGTCAGCCATGACCCGGGTTATACTAGGGGAGCCCGAACCGCGAGAAGAACAGCGATTGCCGCAAAGATACCCTTTCCACCGGGTATACCCTGCGGACTACTTGTCAGTATTCTCTTCAATGTGATGACTGACGGAATGTACCAATGCGGACGCCGTTTCCCCGCAGGCATCAAGGATGACGCTTAGTCCGCGTATCAACGGCTTTAGCGCTTCTCGAAGTTTGCGCGATGTCCTACTTCCGTGTCGCTTGACGGTCAAGCATTCCGAACCCTGCTGCAAGGCGTCGAGTATCTCATCGCAAGTCCAGGATCGTCCAGGGTCGCGGTTGAACGGGTACTTGTACGCGCATAGATCGACGTGAAGCGATTCGCAATATTCGTCCAGAGCTGCCTTCCAGAGAGAGTTGAGGTCCTCCTGTGACGTTGCTTGTCGAGATGAGCTCGCTGCGGGAACGAGGTCTTGGGTCTGGAAGTTACGAGGTCGGCCTGCGAGTGCGGGTCGTAACATGGTGGTCAGAGGCAGACGATGAAGCGCCGAGAAGAGAAGCGCACGCATATAAGTGTAAGGTCAGGCTGTGCGCGTTGCACAGACTGGTTCCCACATAATCCCGCGCTTTTCATGATAAGCGGCCGTCCCACAGACCGAGCAACTTCCGTACAAGAGACGTGGGGATAATCCTGGTTGCGACAGCTTAGGGTATGAGCTACAGATTCGTAAATGCACTGTTACCAGCCATCCTTCTAGCGTTGGATTAGGGATGTCAAGCAGATACCATGCACGTCATAGACCGACACAGCATAACGCCGTGCGTACTGAGGCAGCGTTTTGTGTGAACAGTACAGAATCTCATGAAGGAAGGAAGGAAGGAAGGAAGTCGCGGAAACAGGCTCAGGTGGCTGCGCAATGCGGTGACCGTTGACGTGAGTTCGCTGCTCTTGACCTCTATCATCACCATCACCGACTACCACGACTAACACGATGGTCCAAGCGCCCATCCGCTACAAATCGTAGAAGAAGACAAAGGCGCAGGCGAAGGGCGCGGAGAAAGTGACCAAGGCTCTGGTTCTGCTTCGAGAAGTGCAGGTGCGGTGAAACGAAGAAGTCAGGCGCACAAAGTGGGCGTACGACAAGTGGTTCAAGCACCCTCCTCACACCCAGGTATGCCGCCATTCTTACATGCGCTTACCGTGTACTCCCTTGTGACTACACTGTGCATAGACTATCGCTCGAGGTGCCGCGATGGACCGCGCGACGCCCAAGCTGAAGAAGGAAGAGCTGGACACGCTCCCGTACGAGAAGTTCGCGAATAACGGCGCACTCATGAGGCTTCACGATCTCGAGCACGTGGATCTCTTCATAGAGAAGCGCAATAGATGGCTGGATAGGACCCTTCCTACCTCACAGCTGCGCGCGCCGTTCGGCGCGCAGGTGCAGGCAGGTCCGCCTTCCAGTGTTGTCGCGGAGTCAACGTCGAGCGCGCCGCAGGAAGATCAGCCTCTCAACTGAACGGATAGTTGTGTGAGGAGGTCTCCTGCTTTATGTGCTCGGCGTTTACGGCTTGCATGCATGCATGTTTCATGTATTCCATTTGTACATTGCCCGCAATCCATTGACTATGTCATAACTGCGATAAGGTCCGCATACGCGACCTGGACATGCACGCAGGCCTGTACCCTACTATCTCGATCTCCGTCGTCCTCGGGAATCGAGGTGCCGCAAGACTCGGGAGAGGTACGAGCGCTGATGAACGCATTGTGGGTGGTGTGTCTGGGTCGGGCTAGGATGTGGGTTTGACATCGTCAACTATGATTAGATTAGATCTGAAGTAGATGATCTCGTTGCAATGGCGTGGCTCGGAGTTAAGCCACCGCGACGCGGTGCCGTAATCGTAGCGATGCTCGCAAGTGCTGATTACAGGCTGGCCCAGTCGGCTCTGAACAAGTATGGGATACCTCACGCAGTATGCGCAGTGCATAGCCAGTGCTGGACGAGGCACAAGGTGGACACTCCGTATCTCTCACCGTCAAAATCCGGGTCAAATTCCGTCAAAAGCAGTCAACTGGCATGTGGCGCCGCTGCGCTGAGCCCGTGATACCCACGTCCGCCGTTAGGCGCCCAGCTTATAAGGCCCGCTACTCGGTCTTGCGGTGACCCACCACCCCCACATGGTCCAGACCCAGAAGCGACTGACTCACAAAGCACAGAGCAGGAAGAAAGCGGTCAAGAACGGAGAAGCGGAGGCGAAGGTGTCGCGGAAGGAGGCGACGGCGCGGTGGAACGAGGAGATCAGGCGTACGAAGTGGGTGTACGACCAGTGGTTCAAGCATCCTCCGGGAACCCAGGTGCGCTAACTCCCACTTGCCATTGTTCTCTGTGTTGATAGCGCTGCTTGTAGACTATCACCCGGGGCGCGGCGATGGACTGGGCGGAGCCCAAGCTGAAGAGACAGGAGCTCGACACGCTCCCGTACGAGGAGCGCTTTGCGAGTAATGGCGGGATCATGAAGCTGCACGACGCGAACGACGTGTGCTTGCTCATCAGGAAGCGCAAGAAGTGGTTGGACAGGACCATCCCTACCGAGCGTCTACGCCCTTTGCGGGCCGGTATGGGTGCTATTGCGCAGGCAGGCACGTCCGAGGGCGCCGCGCAGGAGATGGCATCGAGCGTGTCGCAGAATGTGCAGCCAATCGCGCAGGCATCTCCTACTCCAGGCGACGCTGCGGCGTGAGGGACGAACGCTTGTCGCCCTGAGGGCCCTGCTGCTTTGGCTATCTACAGATACATATGTATTGCATGTATCCTCCGTTCCCATAGCATAGTCGAATGCAGACATTATTTTGTACGACAAGCGTGTGTTGGCCAGAGCCGTAAGGGGTCGATGTAGCCTAAGGCAAGCAGAGTGATCGCGAGATTGACTGTTAATACATAATCCCATATCCAGGATGAAGGCATGCTCATCAGTGACTGGGAGCAGCAAGGGAGCAGTGGCACTACGAGGAATGCCCGAAAACCCATGTGGTGCCGCGTTTTCGCAGGTTTTCGCACTCCACAGCAAACTTTGCGACGTTCACGATCTCGAAGCGCCCGAAAGTGTCAAAGCGCCAGAAGTGTCAAAGCGCACAAACTTGTCGGCACTCCTCGATCCAGTCAACACGAACAATGGCGCCGGCCGCCATTGTCCCCCGTGGGATCCACCGAAACAGCAAGCGCCAAACAAGCGCCCACATATATAACGACGCGTCTCGAGTCTCGAATCGCATTCGGCCCTCCTCAGCCTACGAGCACTTATCGTTGCGTTACACCATCCACCACCGTCGTCGTCATCATCATTACCACCACTGCCGTTACCACGATGCTCCAGTACAAATCACAGAAGAAGACGAAAAAGACCAAGGCGCCGGCGAAGGGCGCGGAGAAAGCGGCCAAGGCTCTGCTTTCGCAGAAGGAGGTTGCGGCGCGGTGGGCCGAAGAGGTCAAACGCACGAAGTGGGTGTACGACGAGTGGTTCAAGCATCCTCCCCACACCGAAGTGCGTCACTTTGCTGCCTACTCTCATCGCGGTCCGCTCTTGTGACTACATGCCGTATAGACCATCGCCCGGGGCGCCGCGAAAGATCTCGCGACGCCCAAGCTGAAGCCGAGCGAGCTGGACACGCTCCCGTACGAGGAGAAGTTCGCGAATAACGGCGCACTCATGAAGCTCCACGATCTCGAGCACGTGGACAACTTCATAGAGAAGCGCAAGAGATGGCTGGATAGGACCGTCCACACCTCGCGTCTGCGCCCACAGTCCGCAGCTACGGACGGCGCGCAGGCGCAGGCAGGCCCTTCCTCCAGTGCTACCCAGGAGTCGACGTCGAGTGCGCCGCAGGACGATGGCCAGCCTCCCAACTGAATGAGTAGGGCGGGGCGGGGCGGTCTCTTGCTCTACGTGCTCGGCGTTTACGGCTCGCGTGTATACTTCATGTATTCCCTCTGTACGATAGGCCCAATCTATTCAACGCTCTAATCTTTACGCGGTGTCCCAATCGATCCTGAGTGATTATTCAAGTCCGCATGCACTTGCATTCATCACCTTTTCAAAAAAAAGCACACAGTTGTGTGCCATTTGAAACTCCACTATGCGATGCGTACGTACAGTACACCGAACTACCTCAACTCTTCAGACTCGCCTAGCTATCGTCCGGTAGTCATCGTACTACTGGAACTGCATTCGGCGTCGACATCGACGCCGTAGATATAGAACGAGCTGCCTGTGCCGCCATCTCTGCCTCGCGTTGTCGTTGAGCTATGCCGTACTTCTCCTCTCGTCGACGTCGGTAGATATCCTTCCCCCGCCTCACCATTTCCTCTTGCTGTTGCTCGTATCTCTCCCTCTCTTCTGCTCTCCTCTGCTCCTCGTGCGGGTAGTCCAGAATAGATATTGCGAACTGAGAACGGCTATCACTCGGGGCAACGTGCTCGTCCGCGTAACGTGCTAAGCGCCGTCCGCCGCCGGGGGTTCCATATCGTGTAGTGTTTAGCGGACCTGGAGGAGGTTGGGGCGGGCGGCTGTGGAGCGCAGGGTGGAACGGCCTGGGACCCGGTGACCGACTAGTCGATCGAGGCAAGGGCGGTGTGTGGACGGCAGAAGATGATGGGCGATGGTCGTGTGCTTCGGTTTGCTCAAAAGGCGTGTTCGCTGGAGTGGCGATAGGCGCGGAGCGAGCTGCCTGTGCCGCCCTCTCCGCCTCGCGCTGCCGTAGAGCTATGCCGCCCTGCTCCTGCCGCCGACGTCGTAAGATATCCTCCCCGCGGCTCTTCATCTCCCCTTGCTGTTGCTCATAACTCTTCTTCTCTTCCGCTCTCCTCGTATTCTCCTCGCGCGCGAACTCTGTATCATGTGCCGAGAGACTTGTGTAGAATTGAGAGAAGGCGGGTGCGGAAAGGGTCGAAGATGACAGGTGACGCTCATATGTTTCGGTCAGTGTGAGCTTGATCGTCGCGAGTTGACCCAATATCTCTTGGCCGTGCTACGGGATATGATCAGTACGAGGCCAAAACACAGACATGGTTTTGGCATGATGGAGAGTGCGAGGCAAGAGCGCATCACCCAGGCGACAGATGCCATTCACTACGGAGCAACTCTGAATGCATTGCCCGGAGTCATCTGAAACATGATACTTTAAGGAGAGTATTTCGATCACATGAGTCCGCAAAGAGCCAAAGTATAGCCCTCGGCAGGTCAACGACATTGCCTCGGCAGCGGGTAGTGTAGGACCAGAGTATCCACAGCGTATCTGAAGGATGTACTCACCAGTCCCATATTATGTCTTTGTACAGAGTTGAGCAAGTGACGGTAATCCTTGTGCGCGGGCAGTTTCTCGAGCACAATTGTGGCGGCGCGTGCGAGCTGGATAAAAGCGTTCTCCATATCACCCTCATCTTGCAGATGTCGTCCGGCAATCCGCGCACGTTCTGCATTGCGCAGGTACTGCTTCAGCGTCAGACCATCGTCATCCGTCCCAAGATGTTTTGCTATCTCGGCGAGTTCGGCGATCGTGCGCGGTCGCCGTGGTGGTTCGGAAGAGACAGACGAGCCATTCGTAGTAGGTGCAGCACGGTTAGTACCTCTGCTCGGGGCACTGTGAAGCTGATTGGGCGAGTTCATCGGTCGTGAAGGTGTGTCATTCCGTCGAGGCTGGCGTGCGCCCAGCGGAACGCTCCCTTCGCCGTTTTTCGGTCCGTCACGAAGCCTCGAGCGTTCATGATATTCAACGATGATGCGCTCAAATACATGTAGCGCTGCGTCTGTGGTAGCACCGGCCAAGTCCTGGTGGTCATCGCGAGTGATCGGCACTGTGGGGAACTTCGGCGGTTCCTTCAAGTTCCCATGTTCACTTGGATGAATACGTAAGTCATGGGACTGGATGGCTGAAACACTAGTAACTACGCAACATACCTGTGCAATCGGATCGGAGGCTTATTCTCATCATGGGCCGGCGTTGGATCCATTGCTTTCTCATGTCTCCCGTACGGGCGTTTACATCGGGCGCTGCATATATGTACCTAAGCGTCAACGCGTCTCCTATTGTCGCCATCGAGGCCAAAGGCGTACCAGAATATGAATCCTAACCCACTTCGTAGCTCATTACCGGAAGGCGATGTCTTGCAATAGGGGCATAGGCACGCAAGTTCGCGAATGACGATGCTCATCCTCAACTTCGAGCCCGCTTTAACCACCCGGGGCCACGATTCAGGATCAATCAATAGGCGCTCAGAGTCGCTCAGGGCATATTTGCGCCCCCGGACATATGAGATGCCGGTGCGGTTCTGGAAGGCTTCGAGTAAGAACTCATGGGTATTCTGTAGAGCGCGGATGTTAGCATTCGGAGAACTTCAGAAAGTGACAGTGAAGGGTTGGGATGATACGAACCTCCCAGGTGGTAAAAACATCGGGCTCGAGGACAAGAATCTCCCCCAGGGCGTCGATGATGAGGACGGTATCCGGAGGACGCCGGAGTGGGCGTGAAATAGACGCCAGTTTCCAGGTCATGAACAGCAAGAGTAGTGTGCATGCTGTAGGGGTGATTGATTCTATGACTTCAGCGACGTCTTGAGGCGCAGTACTGGTGGTGCTATCCACAACTCCGTTCGCTGTTCCCATAGCCCGAAAAAAGAGCCTCGCTAGGCCGCGCCAAATCGTATTGCGGTCCTCTGGGCCCAAGGTGGACATGGCTTTGATGAGTCGACCTCCTTGAAAGGGCACCTTAGGGGCAGGACGAACAGCAACGGTACGATCCGGTTGATCAACGTGTTGGCCTCGAGTCTCTAAACCTATGAACTGATCAGAGCTAGAACTATAGAATCATGATCAGAGGGCGGGCCTACGTGATAGCTGGTCCGTCATAGTCTTCTGCCAGCTCTTGAATGCATTGAACATCTCGTCATCTGTATCAGTAGTCAGTTATGATGGTAGAAGCGCAGAGCCGACAGGCAGACGCACACTTTCTTCCCCTTTCATGCAACTCGGCCAATACCTCCTGATTGGTATGTCGCGTGTCCTGCCAAGCATCTCCTAAAGTGACTTGCAACGTAGAAACAGACGTTCCAACTACGGGAGGTGTTATGAGCGTGGATCACGTAGTAAATTCAGTCAGATCACTCACTGTTGTGCACCTCCGAAGAGATGTCTTCCATATTGACGACAAGTTCGCCAATTGCTACCCCCAAAGTAACATGCATCGTGGAAAGCGATGTACCAACTGCGAGCGTAGGCTCAGCATGCTTCTCACACGGACCCTCCAGTCAACATACTATCGTGCATCCCCGACGAGAGATCTTCCATATCCACGACAAGCTCTGCAACTGCCATCCTCTCCTCCTCGGATGTGGCATCTCCCAGTGCCTCGAGCGCATCTTGAACCTCGTCGCCACGAGAAAACACCGTCCGTACGAACTGTCCTGTTCAGATAAGATGAGTGCGGAGCGAACGAGCGTCTATCGCGAAGTCACGTACCGATTCGACCTCTTTGCAACATATGTGTGACAAGAGCCAGCGCCTTCAAGACTTCCACAAGGGCCTTCACAGCTACCTTCCGCGATTCGCTTTTCAAGGGGACCTGCAGCCGCACCTGCAGTCGCTCAACATAGGCACGCAACCGCTCGAGCAGCTTTTGAAGCTGATCGTAGCTTGTACTAACACGATCTGCAGCCTAAAGAGTCAAAATCAGCTATGACTCGGAGTGTATCAGAGGAGCCCGAACCGCAAGAAGAACAGCGACTGCCGCAAAGATACCCTTCCCTCCGGGGATACCCTGCATGCCACATGTCAGTACACTCCTCGGCGTGATGATTGATGAAACGCACCAGCGCGGACGCCGTTTCCCCGCAGGCATCAAGAATGACGCTCAGTCCTCGTATCAACGGCTTCAGTGCCTCTCGAAGTCTGCGCGATGGCCCGCTTCCTTGCCTCTTGACCGTCAAGCATTGTGAGCCCTCCTGTACTCGGGGTGACGGAAAGTGATCGAACACCGCGCGTCGAAGATCGCGGTCGTGCAGCTCTTTCGTTACGAGCATACTCCAAATCGAGACTGAGACGCAAAGAGGGCTCTGGTGGTCCCCGCATAGGCTGCACGGAGTAAGGTATGCTATTGTCCTACCGTGAGAATCCAGCCCGGTTTCCGGTTGACCGTTCGATCATTTCCCGTCACCCCGAGTAAGACATCGAGAATCTCGTCGCAAGTCCACGACCGCTCTGGATCGCGATTGAACGGGTACTTGTACGCGCATAGATCGACGTGAAGCGATTGACAATATTCGTCTAGAGCTGCCTTCCAGAGAGAGTTGAGGTCCTCCTGTGATGTTGCTTGTCGAGATGAGCTCGCTGCGGGAACGAGGTCTTGGGTCTGGAAGTTGCGACGTCGGCCTGCGAGTGCGGGTCGTAACATGGTGGTCAGAGGCAGGGGCTGAAGCGCCGAGAAGAGAAGGGCACGCAGACTAGTGTAGGTCAGGCTGTGCGCGTTGCACAGACCGGTTCCCACGTATATCCGGTTTTCATGACCAGCCTTCATGATAAGCGCCGACTGCAAGTTCGCTCTGCGTCGCATAGACCGAGCAACGCCCGTACAAGAGGTGTAGCTTGGTCCACGAGCCTCGAATATGCGGCGCCGACCTCTGCCCTCACTGGCGATCACTCATCCGTGTTGCTAATTGAGGATGCCGCATGGGTAGCGCCGATATCAGCGTAACAGAAGGGGCACGTCGCACGTGGTGAGGCGTCGCTGTCGCTTACAGTCTTCTGGGGGTCATGACCTGTACAGCTGCACAGGTGATGCGCTGGTACTTGCCAGCGGAAGGGGCGCTCCGATGGTGCGAGTCTGGGTTTGGGTGGATGAGGGTGGGTCCCAAAGACCACTTGAACCAACGGCAGCAAGATGTGCGTGGCAGGTGTATCAACTCTGTCCGTAACAGACCATTCTGCTGGCGCTCGATGTCGGACGCCGACATGCACGTAATGAAGCAGACACAGTATAGCGCCGTGCATAGCAGCGCATCAGCTTATGCGGACGATACAGTATCATGATGGGAGGAAGGAAGTCGGGGAAAGCGGCTCGGCCCTCGGGCGGTTGCGCAACGCGCGCGTCGAACAAGAGCGTCGAGGTACAAGATGTTGTCGCCGTGCCAAGTTGGGTGGAAA